TTGAGATGATCACATAATTTTTGTCCTCGTTTTTGTTTCTGTGACATGTTAAATATATTGATTGGTATATATGGGGACCATTCTTGGATCCCTGGAATAAAGGCTATGTGACCATGAGGTATGATATTTTTAACGATTTTTGGCTTTCTTTTGCCAGTATCCTGCTGAAACTTTTTGCATCTACTTTCATTAAGAAGGTTGGCTAGAAGTTTTCTTTTTAGCTGAGCCATTGTCTGGCTTTGGGCTCAAGACAATGCTTGCTCTCAGGAATGAAATTCCAGTACTTCTCTTTCAATTTTTTGACAATGTGGGAGGCACATATCCAAATATATTCCTTTTATGTGAATATTGAAGTATTACAGCACTATTTCTTATAAAGATTTAAACATAAAAATCTAAAGTTTGTATATTCCAGGTAACACTGTTGCAAATCAATTTTAAATAAATTCACACATTTATTTCTGAATTATCGGTAACATCTCACTTCATAAGATGTCTAAATATGTGCCTGCACCATGCAATACTCCCTCTGTTTCTCTGTCTCTGTCTCTCTCTCTCTCTTTTGCTAAGGTACAGTTTGTGCATGAGAAAAATTCCTGAAATAGTTTATTTTCTGTTGCAAAACACTTGGCATAAAGAAGCTTTCTCTTGGATACAGGCTTCTACTGAAGTGGAAAAAGATCTCTGATTTCTAAGAGGAGGTGACAGGCTAAATTATTTCATATAATGGTACCTTAGAAGAAGTAAGTGTCTAGGATCTAAATCAGACCAGAAGCAAAAGCTTCTATTCTATGTGTAGATAGACAAAGATCCAGGTTTATATTGGACAGAGGGTCACAGAAGGAAGACATTGTTACTAAACTAGTTGAAGTCAGGGTTCAGCTAGCCAGACTCATTCAGGTTCAGCAGGTTCATTACTGAGGATATATAAGTGAAGTTTTTCCCATCACTCACCATTGCTAAAGAAATATATGATGACCATTTAAGGACTTCAAATAGATGCTGATCAGAAGATGATTACTATTGAAGCTTGAAGCTGATCCAAATTTGGGGAGGGTGGCTTTTAATCCAAATTCCAAGGCGCCTAAATGAACATTTAATTCTATGACACCTGTTGAATTCAGCATTTACTCCGTAGATGCTGAGGGAATTTATCAACCACTTAGGAAATTTGTGGTCTTTGAGCTTTTGAGTCCTGAGTAGATATAACACTATTTTGACAGCCATGTGAGGAAGCTTGCTAAGACTGTTCAATTCGGGGGTGCTATTCAGGTGGTGACTCTTGAATATGTCCTGGGAAGCAAACCACTCCAACCACAAGGAGAAAGTTAGGCTGCCTGGGTCCAGTGCTTCTCACTGGCTCAACTAGCAAAAAAATGGGAACAGCTCAGGATGTGATCTGATATCAAAATAACTGAAAACTGAAGACAGGGATTCTGAGGGCTTAACATGACAAGAAATAGTGATAGTTGGGGAACTTGAATTATTCTGTGAGGATGAGGTGGTTGTCAACTGAACAAAATTCAGGGCTTTTAACTGGCCCCAAATCTGGGATCTGGTGCATTTTTGCCATTTTTAATGGTTCCTGTTTTCCAAATCCTGAGCCAAAACTAAATGGCAAGATGCTGGCAAGAATTGGAGCTGGAAGCTCCTGGTATCTTCTGAGTGCAGTGTTGAGAAATGGTGGAAACCAGGTATTGGTCAAACTCCTGCTGCAGTGGAAATGTTTCAAAGGAATTGACCTCTGTGGCTTGATCTGGAGGAACAGATTTCTGAGATTACTAAATTGGTTCTTTGCTTCCTCATGGCATGTGGTTTTGAGGATCTGAATTTCCAGCTTATGACAATAATATTTTCTCTTGAAAATGTACACCAAATATTTTGTCTTTGTGGCCTTGAGCTCCATGTCTTCATGCTTGTCTGTCCTCCTGAGATATTCTATTTTATCTCTAGTTACAGAAATAGCTTACATGTTTTGCTCTCTCCAAGTTAATGGAATGAAGTTCCTACAAAACATGCTACACTACAGATTCTTCCATAAATCTCATTTAAAAGATGCTCATAGTCAAGATCTGGCTGCCTAGAGAACATTGTGTTATGTCCTTGTTATCTGAAACAGTGAGGATGTGGACCAGCTAAATCTGTCTTGTGTTTAGCATAGTAATAATCAGCCTTGTCCTCATGCTGAAGGCCAGAGGATAACAAAAGTCTGCTTTAGCTGGAGGTTTCTTGTACTAGAGAGGTAGCTGGAGACCTCAGATTACCAAAGATATGTTTTGTTTCCTATTGCTGTACCAGGGATAACACATAAGGTTTCCTGGCTTCTGACTGTTCCAGTATGCAACATGGATTGTTAAAGATTCTTGTATTTGATTTTTATTATGCATTGAAAGCTTAATCTTCTCTTTGGGAACATCGCTTCACAAATATAGTAGAAAACAATTAGTAAAATGTTGCTATCCTCCAAGGGTATTGTAGAGTAGTCTGCACAACAGAGTGGGGTATGTCACATTCAGGGTGCAGGTGAGTCTCACAGAAGTTCCTGGAGATGCAGAGAGGGAGGGCAGCTCATTCAGCACAGGCTTGGAGAAGAATACTGCAAGCTCAGATAGTCATGTACCTGAGGAAAAGAAAACACCATGTGAAATCTGAAACAGAGGGGACTGTATGTTTGATCTGGTAACAAGGCTACATGGGCCTGTCCTTAATTATGCAATGAAGAGGAAAAAGAGTAGAGAAGGTCAGACCACAGTACAAGCCCCAAATCAATATTCAGAGGCCCACATCTCTTTAATTGTTAAATTGTTTAATTGTTACTACCTCGGAAGAGGAAGGATTATAAATTCAAATCGGTTTCCCTGTCCTTGATCTTTGCTGTATCCTGCGCATCAGTTAAAGTTTGAGCATTATGCTTCAGTTAGTTCTCTTGGGATGTGAGACTTATCTTCACACAGGGGAGTGTCAAGGGAGGAAACATCTGCTGAGACCTTGTACAAACACATGAGTAGAATACTACTCAGTACAGAAAATTATAATTGCTGATATCTCATCAGTAAATACAAATACTCAATCTTTAGCACTGGAAACTTGAAAATATCATGACCTTGAACCCCACTGTACGGCTTGTGGTGGACTTATAGTGAGCCCTGCTCCTCACTGACCAACAGTCTCAGGGGAAGCTATATTAGGGGAAATGGATAGAAATCCTGCCCACAGTCAGTCCAGTCATGCCCATAGGATCCATGTTCTGGTATACATCAATAATCAAAGGTAGGGGCTGGGGATTTAGCTCAGCGGCATAAGCGCCTGCCTTGCAAGCAGGCAGTCGTGAGTTCGATCGCCGGTACCGATAAAAAACGAAAAAGACAAAAAAAAAAAAAAATAATCAAAGGTAGTAAATACCATTTGCTATTGAAGAAATTCTAGACTCCTGGGAGGTTAAGCTGTGGAGATTGTGACCCTCATACCATGTGACCAGGGTGCATGGAGGTGAGAACACACTGGGCTCTCACAGCCTAAACCTGAGTAACTTCTTTAACAGGTGCCAGGGAAGGAAGCTACTGTGATGTGAGTGAGTGGGAAGTTAGGGTCCTAGGTCAGGGCACAGAATGGATGGTAGAATGACAATGAAGATGGAGGGTTCTTAAATGATGAATGTCTCTAAAAATATTCAGACATACAAAGTGTAGCACTAAGAAACATCAGACTCACTGCTCTGAGTCTCTCAATACTTAGTAGATTCTTTGATCACACTGTGCATCTATGCTGCCACATTTCTTCATGTAAAAGACTTTAAATGGGTAAATGTGCACAGAATTAGGATAAAATCCTAAGGGAGAATTTTACGATCTATACTCATGGTACCTCAGAAACTGGAAAAGGTTGTTGTGTATCACTGAAGTATCAGGAAACGATTGCCTTCTGTACAGTGACTATTGTGACACATCAGAGCACACAAATAATTATTCAACATATGTTTTACTGTTTTGTATTTTTTAGAGCCCACAGTAAAATTGATGTAATATTGGGGGATTTTGTTGTTGTTGTTGTTGTTGTTGTTTTTAACCAGAAGTCCAACTCAGGACCTTGAAGTTTTGGGATTTTTCTGTTTGTTTGTTTGCTTTTTTGTCTTTTCAAGACAAGATCTTGCTATGCGGTTCAGGTGGTCTTGGACTCACTTTGTAGCCCAGTCTAGTCTCGAACTTGTCCCAATCTGCCTGCCTCAGCCTCCTAAGTGCTGTAATTACAGGAGTGCAAAACCAAGCCCAGTAGGACCTTGAACTTTCCAGGCAGGCACTGTGCAACTGAGCTATAATTCCAGCCCACTGTAATGCTTTTAAAATTAAAACTCTTATTTCATATATGTTTGAATTTAAATGGCTGTTCTTTTCACTGCTATTGGCAGTTTACTTCAAATCATTCATCATGTTTCCTTTGGAATACTTTCTGTCTCTTTTTCCTCACCCCTAAAATGCAAGAAACCAGACACCTGTAGAAACTTTCACAAACCATCAAATTGTTAAAAAGTTTTATCTCCCATCTCATTTTATATTATATCTCTAATTAGAACACCATATCTTTTACTTAAATTTTTTCAAATCACAAGTAATGTTCTAGAATTGGTCACTGAAAACAAACTCCTTGTCACATAATGAGAAATGTCTTGAGTCCCACAGTTAGAATCTGGAAGGAAGAATAAACCTGTGACACAATATAATGAGGATCCCACAGAACAGCAGGGGTCAACAACAACTGCTGAATTATTTGCATTATTCTGTCTCTGCAATCCATAGAAAACTGGCCAAGCAAGCTGTTTGTCAGTAAATTCTTAGCAGGATTCAGAACCTGCATCGGTCTGTACTTGTAGGTTTATTAAAAACATTAACATGTTTTTAATGTTTAATACACAAGAAACTTTCTAAGTGCTGTGTGGCCATCTTTGACAGTAAATGAAAACAATGGTTTTTGTCTCATTTCCCCATTTATCTGCTTCACTGTGTTTAACCACCGCTATAACCCACACCACAGAAATAGTCAGCCTCGTCTTCAGGCTGGATGTTGGAGATGGTTAAGTAGCGATCAGCCCCAGAGCTGGAGCCTGTGAATCGATCAGGTATTCCGTCCCCTTTGCTATGGCTTCCATCACTCTTAAGTTGCATCACATAACCAGGGGACTTCCCTGGGTGCTGCTGATACCATTCAATGTAGTAACTGCTGTGCTCACTACTCAAAGTGCAGGTCAGCTTGATCGAGCCTCCCGGAGAAGCAGAAGCAGAGGGTGACTGTTTCAGCACAGGCTGGCAGAAGGATCCTGAAAATACAGATATGCATTATTACCTGGGAAGAGAAGCAGAGGAGAGGACAGTACTGGTAATAATTTAAGAAGCAGTTTCACTGAGCTGAGGAACAGAATGATGAGTACCTTACTGACCTGTGCAGTAGAGGAGGAAGATGAGGAAGAAAAGAGGGGTCTGGGCCATGGTGCAGTCACCACAGAGTTCTGGTGAAGAAGCCATACCATTGCAGGGTCTCTTATCCTACCATCAAGTCCCACAACAGCCAGGATGCCCTATATGCAAATCTGTTCTTCTTCTAACCAGTCAACTTCATCCATGGGCCTATGTTGACACTGACATCTGGTATCACTTTGGAGGGTGGGCTGGGCACAGCCTAGTCTGAGGTTTCTCCAGGGCAGAAAAATGCTTTGAGACTCAGTGAGCCTTGGGCAGACACCAGGAGGCAGGTGCCTGGTTTCCTGGCTCAGAGGCCTATGTATCCAATGGCTCTGTCCCAACATTGTGCCGTGTCTCCTGGACACACGTCCATTGTGTTAGGGCAGATGGCCAGTGGACATATACCTGCCTCCACCGAGAGTTTGTCTACTCCCTGCTCTGTGCCCAGGTGCAAACCACAGCCTCTTCTCAGAAGAATGAATTCTGCTACCTTGTCTCGGTCTGTAATTTTTCATTCAAAATTCCTTGGTGAGAACAAAGCACACAATTCATCTCATCTGATAAGGAAGGGATATTATTTCCAGGTACAAACTTAACATGAAAGAAGGATTCATTACTCAAGCTCATCAGTAAGTCAACCATAAACCTATAACCCATATTATTCTCCAAACCAGGTTTCCTTTTTTCTGTTTGATTCCTCACAATATTGGACTAGCGGGGGAATATTAGTGAGCATTTGTGAGAGTGAATGAGAACATTCTGTGAATAACTGTATCTGTTAAAAATAAGAAAATCCTAGGAATTAAAGGACAAGGCACAAATGGAATTATAAAATAATTTCTGGAGATTGAGCTTCATTTGAAGTATGCTGTCAGAGCAGTTTAAAACAGAAGAAAATATGTATAGTTTTAAGACTGAAGAAAAACATCTCAAAAACTGTCCCTGATTTTTCTAATGCAAAGATCTTATCATTAACAGAGGAGGTGACATGGAGAAAGGTTATAGGGCAGAGAGGCCCAAGAACCATGGAAGAAACATCAGCTCGCCAGGTGCAGGAGAAGGCAATAGGGATATTGTTTAAGTGCTGGGCAGGAGTTCAGGTGAAATTGAAATTTGGACGGTGTGTGTGTGTGTGTGTGTGTGTGTGTGTGTGTGTGTGTGTGTGTTCTGTTCTGTTCGTGCTTTTTAAAGAAAATGAAGCCACGTTGAACTTTTCACATGTCACATGTGGTTGTGTCCCTGCATGAGTTCATGGATTTAAAGAAAATCAGAAATCTATTTTATCTCTTTGAAGCTGTCTTTGGTTTCTCTCAGATAATGATCTCTAATTTATTTTAAGATATTCTCTGGAATCAATGGCTTTATATTATTTGGTGAAGGGAATATTTAGAAATGCAGAATCTCAAGCTCCATTCCAGAATACTGACTTAGAGTCCATATTTTAATAGATACCCAGAGAATATGTATCTTAAAGTCAAGGAAGCAATGGTTTAACATACTCACAAGGATTCCGCTGTGCTTTTAGTCGTGTGTTATTCCACATTTCTCTGTTTTGTATCCTACCAATTAGTGCAGCAAATGAACACCCTGATTCCCATTTTGCACATTATAAATGTGGCTTAATATACAATGGAGTTCATGTCCAAAATCACAAGGGTCTTCTTCAGAGTGCACAAAATTTCCAAATCATCCAGAAATGTTTTTTAATAGCAACAAACTATTCACATATTTACATGTTTAGCTCTCAATTCCAGTAAGATATTGAAGTTATGAAAATATATGATTTTACAACTATAGACATCATCTTAATAATATTAAAGGAGTAATTATATATTTGAGTCCCTAAAGACAGAGTAGTTTCTTATTTTATGATCATACTTTTAGTTAAATTGAAGGTCAAAATAAGAAATCCATGCAAATTCAGATGCATGATTAGATTGAATCCTTGGAATATTAGTCTACTGGGACTACTGTAAGAAGGCACCACAAACTACATGGTTAATTATAACAGAATTGTTATGCTGTATTCCCAGAAATGGAAAGCAGCCAAAATCTACACAGAGTGCTATGTTCTCAAAGACATCTCTAAGAAAATATTCCTGAATCTTCCTGGATCTCAGTTGTTAGTTGACAGTCTAGGTGATCTTAGGCCCCAGACTTCATAATTCCTGTTTCTGCCCCCATCATCACTTGACATCCCTTCTGTTTTGTCAGAGATCGTCTTCCTTTTTATCAATATTTTTTGTCGTACATAATGAATATATGTGTGATGAGGAGTTCGTACATGTCCATGTCACGTCTAAATCTGTATACTTCCCTTTATCCTCACTTTCTTCCTCTGTCTATCCTTAGTCTTGTCCAAAAGTTCTATCTTCCTGTTTCCTATCATCTGTTTTTTTTTTTAATTTATTCTTTAGATTATTTATACTTTGGGTTTTGCACGTAAGAGAAATCATGCAATATTTAACTTTATGTGCATGCTTTATTTCACTTAGCATTATGGTCTAATGGATGCTTCTTATTTGCACATCTAACATAATGATTCAGGAGAAGACCTTACTCCAGTACAGGCTTATCTCATTTAATGATATCTGAAAAGACACTATTTTTTAATAAGCTCATAGTCTGTGTACTGAGAAATCAGCAAATTAATACAACATTAAAAGAGAATTCTTTCCAAAATGTTAATTTTTATACATTTTTTAAATTGATAGGCAAGGTAGTAGTATGCAGGGGTGTGTACCTAGATCGAAATCCCCCAAACATGGTGACTGTGAAAGCTCAAAGGAACGAGTCAGGAAGCATGGTCTTTAGTGCTACAAGAGGGGTGAAATCCTTGGCACAGCCCGTAACTCTGCTAGTCTGCCAACCCACTGGTGCTAGGGAGACCACATTTAATCAGAACAAGCAAGGAGTTGAGTGGACAATGGAGGAAACCTTAGCAGGATCTTGGGAGCAGTTCAAGGACCTCTCAGAGCAAAAGATGATTTTAGTTAAGGAAAACTATCCAGAAAGTCTCCCGCTGGCTTCTATCTTGCCCCCTGCAGACATGCCTGGCCCATGCCACAGTCTGCATGCATATCTCTCTTCAATGGTCTCCAACAGTTGTATGCAATACAATTAAATCTAATGAAATATACTTTATGAGTGGTAGCAATGAAAGATTTCTTTGCATTGGTCCTAGGTGAAACCCAAAATAACAGAAAAGATGCTCTTGAGGAAAAAGATACTCTTGAGGAAAGCTGTTGAGCACTGATTCCTGATTCTGATTACTGTTACTATACTGTACTACTAACATTATTTTGCCAAAGTACATTAACTGAATTCTGTTTTTTTGTGGAATAACTCAAAGAATTCCCAATTACTTTCAATGTTTGCACTCAAGTAGGAATGTATATCAAGACAGTTCTCATAGGCATTCTCTCTAAGGATCGTCATTTGTATCAGCATTTGTATCTGAGAGCTCAGGGTCTAATTGCACATCTCCAATATCAAGTGATCCTATCTGTATCCAGCCTCACTGAAAAGCACATTTACATTTGGTTTCCCATCTGAAACTCATTGATCATCACTCTGTTATCTCATGCAGCAGTACTCAGCCATAGCCTCAGGCTGGTCTGCAGAAACATACTTTGCCTGTGAAGTAGAATCCTGAATGCCCACCTGGTTACAGGAGGGCTTTCTGCTTGTGTCCTAAACCAGTGTCCTGAGATTGGCCAGGCTTCTGCTGGAACTAGCATGGAAAGGAAGCATCAATGAATGTAAGAGAGCAGCAGCTGCAGATGTGAGCGAGCGCCCCTCCTGCAGATAGGGGCAATGAGGGATCCAGGGTCCCTGCAGTCTGAGGTGAACTCTGAAATGAAAACAAACACATTTGAAATGAGAAAGGACACAGGGTCATTTGAAAACAAGTCTCTGAAATCTCCGTTAACCTAGCCAAAGAGTAAAGCAAAAAAGAAGAAGGTTGTCCAGGCCACACTGTGGACTTTCCATGGATTCTCAGGATGCATAGGTGATGATGGACTCTACTCTGCCTTTATCTCCTCTTCAGTCTCTTGTGTAGGCTGTGTGCTTGCCTTCTGTATTACACAAATAAGAGCCATTGACACGCATGAGCAGCATCAGCTGTTTCTATGTGGCCAATCAAGGGTGCAGATCCTCTATCAGGGAAGACTGTGAGTTCCGACTTTGCCTTCGAGGAGGAAGCACCTGCTGTAACCTCTAACCCAGGCCAGTGAGCACAGCCCAAGCCACCAACCGGCCATCAACTGGGAGCCTTGTCAGTCTGTTTCACTGCCTATCAACCTCTGAGAAGAACCACAGCGCCCTCTACTGTGCAGTGACAACAACTTTACTTATTTCTCTATGTTAAATACCTTCTCTAATATCTGAATGTTAGTTTCACTGTCTTCTGTTATTGGGTCCCACAGAGTTTCACTGTGCTCCATAATTTATATTTGCTTAGCTTTTAGGATTTCTGTTTCTGTTCTGAGATTTGCTCCTTTCCCATTTCCTTCAAGCATAATTGAAATTGGCAATGAACAGAAAGTAATGACGGTCCATTTAAAAATTTACCACATGATTTTAGCAGTGCTTCGTGTAAATATTTCATTTTAATTTTATTTATTATACAATTTAGTTCTACACTTTATATTGGGTTTTTGCTTATAGCTTTTGTTTGTTTTTTGAAGTTTGTTCTTTTCCTATTTGTTTCAACAATATATGAAATTGTTCGTCGTTAGAATTCCATGTTGCTTCAAAAATAAGTCAGACACACAAGCTTGAATATCACGTGGTTGTTTCTTACATTAGAAACACAAAGTATAAATAAAGAGAAAAATAAAAGTAAGAAATGGAGATGTAGATCTTTCCCCAGTGTTAAGAGGACCAAGAGATGGAGAGAAGGAAGGAAGAGATTACTACGAACAAAGCTGAATACTTAAAATTCTACCACACAATTGAAACCATATTTAACTTAAGTGTAGATGTGTTAAGTGCAGTTGTGTGTTAGAACTGCCCAATTCAGTTGAGGTTTTCTTGGTGCCTAATCAAAATTACTCTTAGTTTTCTTTCTTAGCCATTTAGAACATCGTATTTGGGGATCCCACGTAGAAAGTCAATGAATCTGAG